CCATACACAAATGCAACAGGAAGATCATCATCGTCGTCATTGTCAACATTATGTGATTAATGTTAGTAAAGAAGAAAATATGTGACAGAAAGGAGAAATAACCTCGGTACAAATAAGAAAAAGTGTTGCACATTGCAGTTATTTTTGCTCTTTATATCTTTTCTGCGTTTGTCACGCCGAAATAGTGTCATGGTTCTATACATTCATGATACTGAGAAGGATAAAATAATAAATGGTAATAATAACGAGAACAATAAGAACAATGGTAATGTTGTTGATGATAGTCATAATGAAATCATTATAACACGAAACATGTTAATAGAAATGAAGACAAAATAACAATAATGCAAATGACAACAACATTGATGGTCACCATATCATTACTGAGCAAAAACAAAAAAATAATAACAAAATTTAAAATGACCGCAGAAGCAACAATAGCAATACCATCCACTCACTAAGCAACAATGGCAATACCATCCACTCACCGGACTCAAAGTCATTCATCTTCATCTAAAAACTCTTATCTGCAATTGTGCGCCCAAGGAACGAGAGCACCTTTGCAGCGCCAGCCTCGGCCTCCAGGTCAGCGCAGACCGCCCGCGTCCGCGCAGGGTTGACGAGGCCTTTTGTTCACTTAAGGTCCCGCTTCTTAGGCTCCGATGGCATTCCTCAGCCAAGGGCTACGTCTAGTAGTTCTTGTTTATTAACTAATACACTTTGGAATATAAATGCGCGTCAGTATAAAAAGCACGTTGCACCACTCTGCGGATTGCATCACAATACCTTTTCCTGTATCGACATGCATTTATTGCTAACACATGCTTCAGAACATAACTACGGCTGTGCATCCCCTCCGCGTCTTCGCGGTCGAAATTCACCAAGGTCATATTCCTCCTCGCTTTTTGTAATCGGAGGAATCGCTTTTGAGAACAGACATGGAAGGAGTGACTGGCGAGCGTGGGAGGCTTTGCTTAGCAAGACATGATCCATTCGATCCCCAGTTTAATTTTCACTCTTGAAAATACCGCCCAACCAGGGCTCAACTGACTCGTAAATTTCTGTGCAAACTCCGCAAGATCAAGATTGGGTGACCCTGACACTTGCTGCCTCGGTCTGCAGTAACTAATAATGCTAGTCATGTTTTTGCAAGAAAAAAAAATCCGCTATCACTGATATACGGCAAGAATAAGATAAAGTGATGTGATCACGAGAATCAAATTTGGATATAGACTGTAAAGGCGGGTTGGTCTAACGTAGCAAAAAGTACTCAGAGTTATGCAATGACTTCATATCAAGTAATGTACGACATATACTCGAGTTATATCCTAAACTCGGAACATAATATAGCAAAACAATAATAGCTGCCCACGCCTAAGGAGTATGTGTGGCCAAGCATTGATGCCCACGCCTCGGACTATTTTCTATACACCAGAGGTGTGTAATAAGTCAGGGTGGTAAATAATGGTCAGTGGATTCCCAATTCATAGCAATGACTTTCTCCTGATGGAGGTGGTGCTGAAGAGCCACAGATAGGACCACGGTCTAATTCAAGGTGGGGTATACCATTTTTGTACCCTGTGTGTCCACGCACGCGTTGGAAATTTCACACACTTACTCTGAACTAAATTTCCAGTCACTAAGTAATATGGTTGAGGAAATGTAAGTGAGAATGACAAATCTAAACTAAGTATCTTCATGTGTTCAAAAGGTAATTATTTAGTAATAGGTGTGCATAAATAAGCAAATCACTGAATAAGGTTCGTCGAAGGAGCCCTAGTTAGCCAACTATATTTCAGAGTTTGGCCCCAAATCACGAAATGCAAGGCAGCGACAGGTTTTCAGATCTTGTTCCCTTGTTAGTTTAGGCGGTCAGCGGTGACTGCGACGTCTGCACACCGAAAATGAAACAAATTTCTACCCTGAAACAAGCTGTATATTCATTCATCTTACATACTGTACTACACAGTGTCTTCTCTATGTAGGTTGAATAAACAGAGAACACAGCCCTGCCGGACCATTTAGCATTGCAAACTAATCAACACGACCGACGTCTGCCTTCAGCCAAGCGTCTCGATCCGAATCTCTCGTTCAGTGAAGCAAAGTGATGTTTCATTAGGCCCCGTTCTCTCATGTCAATCCAGGGCATCAATTGATCCACACAATCGAACTCCTTGCTGTAAGTGAAGATAAAGTCAGCCATTCTGCATTCGCCATTCCTCTTGACAATCAACCCCTTGCTCGCAGTATTCCCTCGTTCCCGGCGGGCAGGTTCACTTAGTTGCAGCTTCTCCCAAGTGCGCCAAAATCTTGTTCTTGCGATCTACAACAGTTTTTCCAAAGTTATAAAAGACTCTAGCTATCATCTTCGTATATTCTGCCATCATCCCTCTTCAGGACTCGTATTTCTTTTGTTTTTGTTTTTTGCGCGCGCGTGTGTGACTGTAATGTGTATGCATATTGTATATGTATATATGCATCAACATAGACTGTACATATACAGACATACATACACAAATATATGAAAATGTACAATATATATATATATATATATATATATATATATATATATATATATATATATTATATATATATATTATATGTGTGTGTGTGTGTATTTAAATATATATATATATATATATATATATATATATATATATATATATATATATATATATATACATATAGTACGTGTGTATATATACATATAGTACGTGTGTATATATACATAGGAGCTCTGTTTTAGAGATGTTATGCGCAGTTGTTTGAAACAGGAGAGTAACGTGCGATATCCTGTTGCTGTCTCGTGAGTTGTTTGTCCATCTTCACAAATATCATCAACCTTTCAGACGAGACAGTCCAGCGAACCGGCGCGAAATATGCAGCTGCAATCCAGCGTCACAGCGTAATAAGCGAGATCCCGGTGGAGAAAACACTGAAGAAATTCAGTCACTGACAAAGAAGCTGCGAGGCTTTATTACCTCTTTCACGATGCTGGTGCATGAGGCTCGTGTGAATGGGTGAACTCGCCATGTTTGGAACACAAAAGCCAAGTGTTTTTTTAGAGCAGTTGTAAATATGAATTCTGAAGCCGAATAATAAAAAAGGGGCATAAACCACCCAGCCAACCCTTGCTTTGAAATACTGAATAATTATTTACTTCTTAGAAGTGAGAAATTCTCAATTTGGATTTACGTACTAATAACAAACAATAGTATGTAATTTGATATAAAATAATAGCTTATGAAATTATCATTATAATATAGTAAGATAAATGAAAAATGATGGTTGTAATTAAATTTATGATGATAAAAATCCTAATGAACTGAAAAACGTTCCCTGTGACTGCCAAGACTACAGCTTCGAAGTGCCTCGTGCCAATGATGCACAGGCGGCCACTGGGGGTTTGGCGGCCTCCGCTCAGTCTACGCTGGATTGCTTTCTTGTTTGAAAACTGTTTTTGGGAACAATGGCAAAATGATTGCAAGGGGTATTCTACATCCAGTCTGACAAAAGACCTTTTGGTAATTTTACCAGGTAAAACTGCAGCAACCGTAGAATACTGTACTGTATCAAATATACGTAAAATTTTGTAATCATGATTGCCCATGCTTGAGCAGCTAGATAAGATGGTGAATAAATTCACTGAAGCTCAAGAGAACAGTGGAAAATTATGGAGCCAATAAATATAGATTATATATAGCTATGGTATGATAAAATTGCTTAATAAAAGTAAAATTACAGATTTTCCGCTGCCTTGCCTTGTTAATGCCTTTCGTATGTGCAGTAAGCAGATCCACCCTCCGCTAATGCCGCGCGGTTGATCAGGCCATCAGACGATGGAGTGAACATGGCAAAAACTGCCTCTTCCAAAAACACTGTTGTGATACAACTAAAACGAAAATTTTGAATAAAAATAGCTGAATCATATGCCTATAGTTTGATTCGAGGCATGAAATGCCTGAGTGGTATGTCGCTTTTTAATTTCCTAGATTTAAATATATATAAATATATATATATATATATATATATATATATATAATATATATATATATATATATATATATAATATAATGTTTATCATATATTACATATATGCATATATATACATATATATATGCATATACATATATATATTATACAGATGTATATGTATATATATATATATATATATATATATATATATATATATATATATATATATATATATATATGTATTTGTATATGTATACATATACATGTATATACTCAGTAATATATATTATATACACATTCACACAAGTTTTAAACACTAATACACACCATGTTCGCATTCACAAGCACGCACGCTTACTGCCGCCTGAATGCACGGCCAGCAAATAAAGTCCGCACCGAAACCTCCGAAAAAGCAAGTTCGCTCGTCCCGGTTTTACTTGGAGCAGAATTCATCAGCAGCAGACGCCGTGGGGCCAGGTTGAGAGAGCAAACATCGACCAGAGAAAGCTAAACACAGTACTGAATTACTCAACGAAAATGTTTTTGGATAAATGTAGATGTTAATTAAATCTCACTGCATCACATAACTAATAAACTAAGGATCGAAAATATTTTGTGGACCAGAAACATGCATCAGTTCAAAAATATATATGATAATTTAAATACAGGAAAAAGGTCCCCAAAGCTTGGCTTGGCTGCCTCTCCTGTAATTAAAGAACTATATTGCGTCCAGTCTCAGGGAATCACCCTAGGGTCTGGAATCGCCTTAAGGAAAAATTAACAAAGTGGTGTATTGCAATAAAGACACGTTTTGTGAAGTGCCAAACATATGGCAGCCTAAGTATATATGAATATATATATATATAAGAATAAAGAATTACGCGAATCGGTTTAGTCCACAGGATACAGATACATATATACATATATATGTACATATGTATACATATGTATACATACATATACATACACATATATGCATACATATGTATAATATGCATACATATATAGAGAGAAATATATATATA